TTAAAGAACAGTGGTTTTAAAGGTTTGTTAAAAATGTGCATAACATTTAGATGGAAACACAACTAATGATTAATAGTTGTTTATTCCTCTCAGCGCCCCTTATGATATGCCACCCAGAGCAGAAAGTCACTTCACCCCTGACTAAAATAATCTAGAAGCTAAGTAGGTAAAATCAGGCATAATTTATTAGCTGAACATTAGTTAATTTAAATGCAAACTTTTTGTATTTACTTATTTTTCCTCTTAACTTTCATTTTCTGCCTTCTTGATTGTTTCCTGTTGTCTGACTGACAGTTTCTTGTCCCATATGGACTGAACCATTCTGTCTCCTGCAGGGGTTCCTGCTCTCAGACCTACTTCCCAAAGAAGCTGCAGATGTGCTGCTGGCAGTGGTCCAGGTAGCCGCTGCCATGCAGAGTGGAGTTGGACACCAGCAGGAGTCTCCTCTTCATGTCTCCAGGCTCTCACACAAACACTGGTCCGAGCTGAGCTCTTTGGTTTGGTTGAGTCCAAAGTTCGGAGTCCGGCTGATTGTGCTGAGTGAGTCTGAAGGAGCAGGAAGCTCCTTAGAGCAGAGCTGGACTGACGTCACTTTCTGCTTCTGTCAGCAGCAGCAGGAGCTCCTACTGCTGGATAACATTAGTTTTCTTTATTTTCCGTTTCCTTAATAAATGCTTGATATAGAACTTTTAAGATTAGAGTTTTGTTTGTTTCGGCTGCATCTTTGTTTATTTTTCCTTTTTCATAAAGGTTTTGTAGTTGTGTGTCATATTTTAACAATAAAACAGTTTTAAGCTTATTTCTGTCACATGAGGAACGTTATTTGCAGAAAAGAAAACGACTCATTAATGGATATAGGTCTACTATAAAATCAAAACGGAAGCAGCTTACTCTTTAAGTCCTATCAAAATAAAAGCCCGGGTAATGCGAAATGAAGCATATAAATAATTTAACCCTTTAAAACCAATGATTTCATATTTGATACATGAGTTTTTGGGATCATCAGTGTGATCTTGCTGATCTTAAAAACCTTGACTTACACACTCAGACACGTGAGCAGAAATGCCTAATGTTTTAAAATTGATGCAAATAAATTATCAAATTTTACTTATACAAAATGTATATATATATATATATATATATATATATATATATATATATATATATATATATATAT